AGCCGTCCAAGTGGGTGGGCAAATTGGACCTGAAGGATGCATACCTCACGGTGCCGATATCTGTAAGCAACCACAACTTCCTGCAATTCATTTGGAAACAAAAGAAATGGAGATTCACATGCCTCCCATTTGGACTCTCTTCAGCCCCGTGGTGCTCTACAAAAATTATGAAGCCACTGGCCGCCTTTCTGAGAAGTTGAGGCGTACGTCTCATCATCTACCTTGACGACATCCTGCTAATGTCGTCTTCCCAAAGAACTCTGCATATGCACCTGACCTGGACCACGACCCTCCTCTGAAATCTGGGGTTCCTAATCAATGAGGAGAGATCCATTCTCTTGCCCATGCAACACATAGAATTTTTGGGGTTGCAGATAGATTCAATCAACATAGACTCTTCAACTACCCATGTCCAAAGTAAAGTCTTTCAAAAAGGAAATCTCTCACTTGCTGCACACCCCGCAGATCTCCCTCACACAACTGGCTCGTATTGGTTGGCCTTCTAGCTGCCCTTATCCAAGCAATTTTTCCAGGACCACTCTGCTACAAGGCACTACAACGCCTTCAAGCGACCTACCTCCAAACAGGTGCCTCCTACAAAGGCACTATGACCCTGGATATGGAAGCCAAAGAGGAACTCAAATGGTGGCTCTGCCGCATGGAGGCATGGAACGGACGCGCCATCTTCGGCACCTCTTCAGATGTGATTGTAGAATCCGATGCAAGTCTGCATGGTTGGGGCGCACGCTGCAGAGATATCTCCCCTGGCAGAAGGTGGTTCAAGGGAGAGAAAGGCTACCACATCAATTGTCTGGAACTCCTGGGTGGCTCATTTACAGTAAGATGCTTTTCCCAAACAAACTCAATCTTCTATACTATTGAGGATGGAAATGTATCGGCGGTCAAGTACATCAACCGTCTAGACCAAGCATGTCAAACTCGCGGCCCAGGCAGCATGCGGCCCACAACGGACATGTTTACAGCCCGGTGAGCCGCGAGTGCATGTTTAGTGTTAAAGGAACACTATAGTCACCTAAATTAGTTTAGCTAAATAAGGCAGTTTTAGTGTATAGATCATTCCCCTGCAATTTCACTGCTCAATTCACTGTCATTTAGGAGTTAAATCACTTTGTTTCTGTTTATGCAGCCCTAGCCACACCTCCCCTGGCTATGATTGACAGAGCCTGCATGAAAAAACTGGTTTCACTTTCAAACAGATGTAATTTACCTTAAATAATTGTATCTCAATCTCTAAATTGAACTTTAATCACATACAGGAGGCTCTTGCAGGGTCTAGCAAGCTATTAACATAGCAGGGGATAAGAAAATCTCAATTAAACAGAACTTGCAATAAAGAAAGCCTAAATAGGGCTCTTTTTACAGGAAGTGTTTATGGAAGGCTGTGCAAGTCACATGCAGGGAGGCGTGACTAAGGTTCATAAACAAAGGGATTTAACTCCTAAATGGCAAAGGATTGAGCAGTTCTATACATCAAAACTGCTTCATTAAGCTAAAATTGTTCAGGTGACTATAGTGTCCCTTTAAAGCAGAGAAGGCACCTGCTTTCTCCACATTGCAGGTGCCTACTCTGCTAAAAGTTATCCGGCCGGCGAGGCGAGGAAGGTGGATGCTCCCTCGTGCGCGCTGTCTGTAGTGATGCCAGGCACTGGAATATGATGTCATATTCCAGCACCCGGCATCAGTAAACTGTGTGCAAGAGAGCAGTAAAGAGCAGGAAGGCTGAGCTCCAGATAGAAGAGGGCCCACACCAGCTCCCAAAGATAGGGAGCAATAAAATGAGGTGAGTGCAAGTATGTGTAAATGGGCGTTTGTGTCTGTCAGTGAGTGTGTGTGTCAGTGAGTGTCTTGTGTGTCTGTCAGTGAGTGTGTCTGTGACGGACCGCCTGGCACCCCGGGTGCCTCCATCAGTCGATGCTCCTAGTGCTCACCGAGGGCTCCAAGAATTCCACCCGACACCATCAGCACTGTAGTCCCCACGTCCAGCGTTACAGCTTGGCTGGGAACTTGCCGTCCTCCACCCACCCTGGACCCAAGACCAGGATCAAGCTTCCAGTGGCTGAACCTCTCCTACTCCAGAGACCATAGCAGGAACAGCTCTTAAAAATGATTATAATCCCAGGGGAGTATAGTGATATAGCAATCATAGTTACATGCTAGGAAAAAATTCCTTCTTGACCCCAGAATGGCAGTCAGATGTATCCTTGGATCAAGCAGTTATTACCCTACATTGAAAAATTATATCCTTGAATATTCTGTTTTTGCAAGTATGCATCTAGTAGCTGTTTGAAGATCTGTATGGACTCTGATAAAACATTCATTAAAACCACTTCTTCAGGCAGAGAATTCCATATCCTTATTGTTCTTACAGTAACAAATCCTTTCCTTTGCCTTAGACAAAATCTTCTTTCTTCCAGTCTAAACGCATGACCTCGTGTCCTATTTAAAGTCCGGTTTGTAAATGGATTTCCACACAATGGCATAGCACGACCCCACTGTCCAGGGTACTTACCCGGTCGCCGGCGATCACGGTATGGGGACTTACCTGGGAGACCAGTGAGTCCCGCTCCGTCTGTTTCGGCTCCCCTGGGAAATGTGATCGCGAGGACTCCCCCTGCTGGCACTGACATGGATGGCTAGTCCGTCAATTTTAGTGCCAGCAGGGAGAGTGCCAGTAATGACAGGTATTCCCCCTGCTGCCTAAAAAAATAAAAAATAAAGTTTAAAACAGTGTAAAATTAAATTATATATACCTAGCTCATATATATAGTTATTATATATATGATCTAAGTATATATATACACATACACATAAATACACATACACTGTCTAAGTGTATTTTAATATTAATATATATATATATTATCAAAATACACACAGAATAATATTGATTATATATATATAATGATCATTATATATATATTTATATATAATATAAAATAAATATGCAAATATGTAAAAAAAATTAAAAATATATATGTGTAATTTCATTCTAACTGTATTTTAAAATTAATATATATATTTTGATATCAAAATACACGTAGAACGAAATAATATATATATCTATATACTTAAGTAAATACGTCTATATCATTATATATATACCTATATATAAATAAAAATTATTTGAAAAAATTATATACATATATACATACACACACACATATATATATATATATATATATATATATATATAATAATAATTCTATGTATATATTTATGTAATAAATTTACATAGTTAGGTCATTTTATTAATTACAATTTGCGTGACCTGCCTGAGAACCCAGGCCGAAAGTCCAGGGAATATAATTTGCTAGCACTAAATTTAACCCTGTAACTTTCCAAGACACCATAAAACTCGGAAGACTTCGCTGAACACAAATATTAGTGTTTCAAAAAAGTAAAATGTTTTACAACGATGAAATTGTCAGTGAAAGTGAAATATTTTGCATTTTTCACACACAAATGGCACTTACACGGACGATATAATTGTTGTGATACGTTTTACTGTTTTGAAACACTAATATTTGTGTTCAGCGAAGTCTCCTGAGTATAACAGTACCCCTCATGTACAGGTTTTATGGTGTTTTCAAAAGTTATAGAGTCAAATATAAGACATTCATTTCAGTTTTTTCACATTGAAATTCGTCAGATTGGTTACGTTGCCTTTGAGAACGTATGGTAGCCCAGGAATGAAAATTACCCCCATGATGGCATACCATTTGCAATAGTAGACAACAAGGTATTGCAGATGGGGTATATCCAGGCTTTTTTAGTAGCCACTTAGTCACAAACACTGGCCAAAATTGGCATTCAAATTAGTTTTGTGCATTTTTCACACACAAACAAATATTAACACTAAGTTTGGCCAGTGTTTGTGACCAAGTGGCTACTAAAAAAGACTGGACATACCCCATTTGCAATACCTTGGGTCGTCTACTTTTGCAAATGGTATGCCATCATGGGGGTAATTCTCATTCCTGGGCTACCATATGGTCTCAAAGGCAACGTAACCAATCTGGCGAATTTCAATGTGAAAAAACTGAAAAATGTAACATGCTATATTTTACCCTGTAACTTCCCAAAACACCATAAAACCTGTACATAGGGGGTACTGTTTTACACGTGAGACATTGCTGAATACAAATATGTGTATTTTATTGCAGTAAAAGCAAACTGTGTTATGACATTCACAGTTAAAATGTCACGTAGAACTAAAAAGTTTAACATTTCTTATTTTCTCCCATTTTTTCATATTTTATTCATATTAAATTATGTTTCATACCAAAATATTTGATGTTAAATGAAAGCCCTGTTTCCCCTGAATAAAATGATATATAATAAGTGTGGGTGCACATAATATGATAGACATATAGCGCAAATTCAAGTTTCTGTTTACGTTTTGTTTTGATCACAACGTGTACATTTGGCTCAGACCTTAAGGGGTTAATGACAACTCTTTGTACTTGTTTGTAAACAGAAGAAAAATCTTATTGGACAGCATCATCACCATGCACCAAATCACACAAAGGGGTGTGATCTCTGAAGGGCAGATGATGTGTCCAAATAATATGACCTGTTATTTTAATAGTATAAAAAACCTACACCTACAAGGTCCTATAATTTCTAAGGACTCCTGTAGGTGTCGCGAAGCTGCCATAGTGATCTGGCAGCCTCGCAAGAAAACAGAGCATGCAGGCATTGCTCTGCACAAGGAGCAAATGAACGCAGCGCGGCGTTCACTTTAGCTGAAATGGCGTGGGACTGGAGACTTTGTGGTATGACAGCAGGTCTTTTACTGCATGGGAGCGGCGGTCCGCTGGATCGGAGCAACAGCTGATCGGTGAACCACCAAGGTAAGTGCAGGAGATCTGACACTGCCAAGACTATAGTCGGATTGTAAACCTGGAAAATGGCAGATGTCATTGTGATCGTACAATTGGAATACCTTATTGAGACCCAGCCTTTTCCATTTTCCCAATGGCAAGTCATTGGAGTAATACGATATGCTACTAACGGTAGCATACATCATGTACATTCCCTGCTTACCAATTTTGGGGGACAGATCCGTTTTAATACAAGTCATAAGTGATTTTCATTGACATAAATTCCAGAGAATTGACATCTCCTTTGTATAGCTGGCTGAGCTAGAGATTTCTGCTTGGAAAAATATTTGAAAAAAAAAATTACTTGGATGCCATTGATCTTACTTCCGGTGTTTCTCACCATGCTCTCTCATTGCCTTTCATGTCATTCCTTACTACTTTAACCCATTGTGTGTCTCTCCCAAGCCAATTACCCCCTTACCCCTTTTTGTGCCTGTGTTTTCTCCCCACCTATACTGGTGCCTTCCTAACATGCCAATTACCTAGATTGTGGTGCAGCTGAGTGGGCCCCGTTTAGAGCTAGTGCTCTAATGTTAGTGCTTGCTCTGATGCCTGGGTATGCAATAAATAAATGTAATATTAAATAGTGAAAATCAGGTATACACAAATCTGCAGTATACAAATCAGTATGGGAGTATACTTTTAAAACTGTGTACATACAATTTTGGTAGTGTAGGGGTTAAACTTTCCCATAATGGTGCCCTTGAAAAATAGTTGTTATAAAAGGGTTACTTATGCCTCGTTTCCACTGAGCGGATCAGTTCGGGTCGGGTCGGGTCGGTTCGGTACGGTACGGTATTTTGAGTGTTACCATTATGAAAGTGGCCCATACAACCGAACCAAACCGCACCATTCATGGTCCCCCTTCAGATGTAGGGCCATAGGAAATGGTATGGTACGGTTAGGGCGGAGCTTCTGGCGTCACATGATACATTCCATTGATTGGTGGACAGAAAAACGTCAATGCTCAAAACAAACACCACGTCGCCATTTAGTCCAGATAATAGGAGAAGGATGCCTGCAAACAACAGCAAGGTCTGGTCTGCTTAGGAACTATCCACTCTCCTAACTATAATTGGCGATAGCGTTATTCAGAGTTAGCTTGATGGATCAGTGAGAAATGAAAAGGTGTATAAAGATATTTCTCAGCAGATGGCAGCTGAGGGATTTGAACGGACATCGGGTCAGTGTAGGGCAAAGCTTAAAAAGCTGAAAGGCCAATATAAAAAAAATTAAGGATGCCAACAGCCGTAGTGGAAACAATCGAAGTACTTGGAAGTGGTATGACGCCATGAATGCCATTTACGGTCATAGGCCGGCAAATCAAGGCAGGGAGGGAGGTCTGGACTCTGCATCTGCACTTCTCGAATCCATGATAGAACCCATTGGTAGGTTTTTTTCCCCTACTTTGCATTGGCTTTCGCTCTGCTAACCATTTATAAATTCACTGCACAAAACCATAAATTATTTGCACAAAAAAACACATTTTATTTGTACAGAGGACTGAACTATTGATCTGTGCATTTTCAGATACAGTTGATGGACTCTCCAATGATACCTCAACATTTTCTTATGTTTCTGACGATGGTCTATTAACGTCGTTCAGCAGCACCAGTACGATGACGTCAACACCGACCCAACCACAGAGTATACCCAATGCACCCCGGCACACTGGTAAGACATGATGTTCAGAGTAAAAGTTGTAATTGTGCATTTTCCTAACTTTTAATTCACAGAAAACTGTGAATTCACTCAAAATGCTTCTATGTAGTGTGTTTGCATAATTAAATCCATAACCATAATTGTACATTGTCTGTATATACTGCTATTTAAATTTTATTGTGTTTTGAGCTTATCTTAAGTATATTGTGTTTATTGAGTTTATTTTAATTTGTGCTTATACTGTTCTTATGTGTTACATCTTTTCTTTATTTACATTATGTTAGATAATATATATATCCACCTGTTTTGTGTACCAATTGCTGAAAAAAACACTATTCTGGTCTTTTGTATATTCCAGGTGATAGGAGACGGTTTCAGCTGAATTTGCGCACAGTCATGGAGGATATGCGGGCAGCAGAGGAAAGGCAGCAGGAAAGGATGGAGAACCTTTCTGAGCGGCGGTTTCAGGCACTGCGTCAGGATGCCAAGGAAGCGAGGCGCCAGGAGGCAAAAATCGCCCGGTAGCAGATGGAGCAGTTAGCTACATTCAACCAGGCCTTCCTTGGTGTCCTTGAGCAGCTTTTTCAAGTGCTGGGAGGCAGTCATGATCCCAGGTCACCGCCCAGGCAGTAGTGCCTTTCAGCCAGCACAGGACCTGTAGACTTTTTTATTTTTATGTAAAAATATTTATTTTTGGTTTTTGTAAAAAAAGGTTTATTTGTAAATATATTTTTTTACTTTGTACTTGTTAGTATATTTTGAAAGATCACTTTTTTTGTTTAATAAAAAACAGGAGAGACTTTACGTGTGTCTGATTAAATGTAAAACTTTAATAAAACCGTAATAAAACGTTAATAAAATCAGGGTAAGAAATTAAATGTTGAGGTGCCGCATCAGAGCCTGGCGTATTTCACTGCACTCTTTTTCGCTATCACGTGTAATTACCTGTCCTGGCTCTTCTGCAGACGTATTCCAATCCTGGTGGAAGTCTTCTTCATGTCTTTCACATGTCTTTTGCAAACAAATTCAAGCAGAAACTGTCCAAAAACTCACAAGTTCAATGGATGCAAGACTTGTGAAACTGCTATCAAATAAGGGGTCCTATGTTAAAATGTAACGTAACCTGTTAAAATGTTTAAAAAGTTAAAATGTTATAAGTTTGATTGAAATAGCTTTTGATTTCAGTAAATATGCTGCAAACACAACAAATGACAATTTTCAGTTCTTTACAACCTATAAAGTGTTTTGAAACTTACTGTGCATAATAATTTCAAACAGTGCATTGTAAGTTTTTTATGTTTAACCCCTTAAGGACGGAGCCAAATGTACACGTTGTGAACAAAACAAAATGTAAACAAAACCTGGCATTTGCGCTACATGTCTGTCCAACCGTAATTCAACTCTTTCATAGTAAATGCACCCACCCTTATTATATATCATTTTATTCAGGGGAAACAGGGCTTTCATTTAATATCAAACATTTATATATGAAACATAATTTATTATGAATAAAATTTAAAAAACTGTGAGAAATTTTACATTTAAAAAAAAAAAATTGTAGTTCCGCCTCACATTTTAGCTGTAAATGTCATAATAATTTTAGGTTTTACTGCAAAAAAATGCACATATTTGTAATCAGCGATGTCTCACGAGTACAACAGTATCCCCCATTACGAGGTTTTATGGTGTTTTGGAAAGTTACAGGGTCAAATATAGAAGGTTCCATTTTCTCATTGACATTTGCCAGATTAGTAATGTTACCTTTGAGATGGTGTGGTAGCCCAGGAATGAGAATTACCCCCATAATGGCAGACCATTTGAAAAAGTAGACAACCCAAGTAATTGAACGTGGGTATGTGTAGTCTTTTTTAGTAGCCACTTAGTTACAAACACTGGCCAAAGTTAGCGTTCATATTTGTTTTTTGTGAAAAAAGCAAAAAACTAATATTTGGCCAGTGTGGCTACTAAAAATGACTGGACATACCCCATTTGCAATACCTTGGGTTGTCTACTTTTGCAAATGGTATGCCATCATGGGGGTAATTCTTATTCCTAGGCTACTATACAGTCTCAAAGGCAACATAACCAATCTGGCAAATTTCAATGTCAACAAAATGAAATGCAAGCCTTATATGTGACTCTCTAACTTTCCAAAACACCATAAAACCTGTACATGGGGGGTACTGTTATTCTCGGGAGACTTCACTTAACACAAATATTAGTGTTTTAAAACAGTAAAACATATTACAACAATAATATAGTCCATAAACATGACGTTCGTTTGTAAAAAATTTCACTTTTACTTAAAATATCATCGTTGTAATACAATTTACCAGTTTGAAACACTAATATTTGAGTTCAGCGAAGTCTCCCGAGTAAAACAGTACCCCCTATGTACAGGTTTTATGGAGTCTTGAAGAGTTACAGGGTCAAATATAGTGCTTGCGAATTAAATTCTCTGCACTTTCTCCCTGTGTTGTCAGGCATGTCAATCAAATTTTAATTAATCAAATCACATAATTATGTTAAAAGATTACTTAAATATACACGTAGAATTTTAATATATATGCATTTATTATATATATGTAACGTCATTCTAAGTGTATTTTAATATTAATATTTACTTATATTAATATTAAAATACATTACGTATGACGTTATATGTATATAATATGTATATATATATATTATATATAATATATACACATATATTATATATATAAAAATATATTTAATTTATTTTAACATGTTTTTTTTTTTTTTTACACTTTCCACCAGCAGGGGGACTGTCTGCTATTTCAGACAGTCCCCCTGCTGGCAGATCCACAGCCAGCTATAGGGGGCCATGTGATCGCTCTTTGAGAGCGATCACATGGCCCCCGGGGGCCTCATTCACCGGAGGAGGGCTACCTGGGCGGTCTGGCAGCCCTCCAGAAGAGGATCGCGGCGGAGGTAAGTACCACCGGTCCTCTGAGGCTCAAAGCCGTTACGGTGTTCTATGCCGCCACAACAGCTTTTAAAGCCCATTAAAGCCACGACGGCATAGAACGCCGTAACGGCGGGAAGGGGTTAAAAAAATACTGTTATCATTAGGAGGTTTGTTCAATAAAATTTGAATTGTACTCTTAATAGTTGATAACATGAGAATTATGCTGACTGTTATTTACATAATTTATTTAGGTAAATAAGAAAAATATAATTTGCATAATAATTTGGAACAGGGTATATGTATGTGTGTGTCTACATGTATGTGTGTCTGTATGTATGTTTTTTCTGTGTATGTGTGTGTTTGTGCGTCTGTATGTGTGTGTTTGTATGTATGTGTGTGTGTTTGTATGTATGTGTATGTGTGTTTGTATGCAGGGGTCAAGTCCTTGGGAAAAAAGTGTTGGAACTCACCCAAGATTCCTACCTACACCCCCAAAACATTTTTACACTCCTATGCATATAGTGCAGTGCAGGGTGTGTATAATGAATGTAGTGTGTTTGTAGTGAATGCAGAGTATGAATAATGAATGTAGTGAGTGCAAATGTACTGTGTAGTGAGTGCAGAGTGTGTATAGTGAATGTAGTGTGTGCAGTGTGTATAAAAAATGTAGTGTGTTTGTAGTGGGTGCAGAGTGTTTATAATGAATGTAGTGTGTTTGTAGTAAGTGCAGATTGTGTATAATGAATATAGTGTGTTTGTAGTGAGTGCAGAGTGTGTATAATGAATGTAGTGTGTGTAGTGAGTGCAGAGTATGTATAGTGAATGTAGTGTGTGTGTGTAGTGAGTGCAGAGTGTGTATAGTGAATGAAGTGTGTTTGTAGTGAGTGCAGAGTATGACTAATGAATGTAGTGTGTTTGTAGTGAGTGCAGAGTGTGTATAATGAATACAGTGTGCGTAGTGAATGTATGTGTTTGTAGTGAGTGCAGAGTGTGTATAATGAATGCAGTGTGTGTAATGAATGTAGTGTGTGTAGTGAGTGCAGAGTGTGAAAAATTCAAATTTTTTTGATGCTAAAAAGTAAATTTGGGGCGTGCACTTCATATCTGAGAGTCAAATAGAACTGTCAAATACTGTGGTTACATCGCACTTTGAAAAATTCAAATTTTTGGGTGCTAAAAAGTAAATTTGGGGCGTGCACTTCATATCTGAGAGTCAAATAGAGCCGTCAAATACTGTGGTTACATCGCAGTTTGACCAATTCAAATGTTTTTGGTGCTAAAGAGGTAAATTTGGGGCATGCACTTCATATCTGTGAGTCAAATAGAGCCGTCAAATACTGTGGTGTCAGAGTATTTATATCGGCAGACATTTTGTGCTATGATAGAAATTAAAAGTGTACATTCTGAGTCACTCTGAACAGACCAGACTCCATTTTGTTATTCCAAGTTAACAAAGAGACACTATATTTCTATCTGTAAGCTAACCACTTTCCCAGAGCTGAGGAATGCATAGTATAAACAAGTGATAAGGAAGGGGGTTGGACAGACTGTCTAATGCTAATGGAATATAATCAAATCTAAACCCAGACAATTGTGACAGAGAAGATTAAATAATTTAATATTTAACTGTCTATACATATAAGGTACCATTGTATGGAAAAGGGTAAACTTAGTTCATGATCTGTCATATCAGAAATTATGGCAGGAATTGCAGACGCTAAGTCTGGACAAAATTTAAGAACCCCTTTGATCTTTGAAGGATACGTAAGTTATAGCCACTATCTAGATAGGCCAAAATGACGTCAAAATAGCCACCAGGAAAAGTTAACTCTTTCCTGGATAGGTATGTTTAGTGGGACAAGACTGCCCTCTACAGACCAAATAACTAATTTGCGATCTGGAAGATAACCACACCTCTAGTGCTTCTATTGGGTTATCAACTGATGACGTACAGAGAGTCTGGCCCTTTAAAAGTTAAGACAAAGGGAAGATAGAGAAATGAGACGAAGGAGGCAGATGCAAGATATGCAAAGGAGAGAAAAGAGAGGAATTGGAAGTTTGGGGACTCCAACCTCCATGCAGAGACACATCCAAATAAATTCCTGAGACTACCAATCGGATGAAATATCTACTCAACTGGTAATTATACTGGGTTCATTTAATTAAATTAAATTAATTAAAATGTATTAATAGCATTATATATGACTGGATAAAGCACGGTCAGATTTCCATATTAAGAAATCTTAGTTAACTAAGAATATATAGTTATAAACATTCCATTCTGCAGGTGGAATTAAGAATAATTATATATTGATGTGATATTATCACGTGTTAGCATACCGCTGTTTTTATCCAGGTGTATTGATTTGCTCTAAATTAAGATAGATATCTTTTAGACAAATTAAAAATCTGCTTATATAATGTTAGATTCTCTTATTGGATGGTTTAAGAAAATGAATTTAAACTGGTTTAAATGTTATTTTATTTAAAAATTACATAAGAATAGATCTTAACTACCTAGGAGATCTAGCCAGCATTGAAAGGGTTATTCTAACTGTCTGCTAAACTTTACGACCTTACGCTGCACTCTGAGGAATTCTGTTCTTCTGTGAAAAGTTTCACTTTCAGCCTGTGTTAAAGATAGTCATAAATAATTCTTGACAGGAAATGCTGTTTAGCCATTGAAACGTAATACCCATTCCTTTGTATTGCATATAATTTTGTACTGGATATTCATTGATTATTGTCATGCATGTTACATGTTATTATTAATTATTGGTTATCATAAATAAAATCTATTTTTATACATTGTGATATCAATTATATGAAATACATTCCACTTAACACGATAAACGTTCTTTGGGATCTGAGAATTGAATTAGTGGGCAATTCTCACTGTTACTATTATTACCCCATAAATATCCCCACAGTGGTTACATCGCACTTTGAAAAAGTCAAATTTTTTTGGTGCTAAATAGTACATTTGGGGCATGCACTTCATATCTGAGAGTCAAATAGAGCCGTCAAATACTGTAGTTACATCGCACTTTGACAAATTCTAATTTTTGGGGTGCTAAATAGTACATTTGCAGCCTGTGGTGCATTTCTTGCAGTCCAATAAAACCTTTAAATACTACTGTTACATTGTTGGTTTAAAAAATCACACTTTTTTGTGCTAAATAGAACATTTGAGG